TCCTTCTCACTTTTACCCTGGGTTGTGGTGGACTTTGAAGACAGAGGACTTCCCCAAGGCTAGGTGGAGGCCCAGGTGTCCTGTTGATGCATTCTGTTGTTTTACTGTAATAGTGTGAGCTTTAGACTTGTCCAGCCCTGAGTTCATGTCCAAGGCTGTCACTGACCAACCAGGTGACCCTAGCAACTTTCTTCTGATATCTGACCCTGAGTTTCCTCCTCTGTAATCTTGGCCTGGGGGGCCAACAGATCTTGTTGGACTGTTGCAAACATTAGAGACAATGTATGAAAACAGCCACCAAAGTGCCTGGCACAATTTAGGCACTCAGGAAATGGCAGCTGTTACCCTTACTTTTGGGCTCTGTATCCCTGAGCTCCCTAAACAACTGGAGTATTCTAGGACCCAGAAACTCAATCCACTTTAGAGGCATTCTGGAAACTAAAACTGCAGCTTTTCCACTCACTGTGTGGAAACTCTGTTGGGGTGGGGCTAGCTTAGGTTGCTGACTTACACAGCAAAAGGTTCCCAGCTTGTGTCCCATCTGGATACTGCTCAAAGCTCAAAGAATCTATGTAAATGGAATGAGGAATATTCTCTTTTTCTCACCACCTTCCAGAAGCTCCTCTCCCTGCTTCTCTCTCAGCCCTGCCATTCATTTCACAGCCACAGGAAATCCCACCCTTGCTCAGCATTTACCTAATCAAATGAAGATTAACTCTTTGCAGTACCCATGTGGTATGTTGGGGGGTGCAAAGGGGCGGGAGACACACTAAACCTCCAGGCCAGGGGAAGAGTGAGCCTGGGTCATTAATTGCTTCCTTGCTGGGCTAAGGCAGGTCACCCAAGCCTTTGTGCCTCCCTGTGGAGCCTCCTGCCTGAGGCTTTCAGGATCCCAGCAGTCATTTCTTTTACAGTGCAGTTTGTGGCATACTCCCACTCTTTCTCCCTTTATACTGGGTACTACTGGTTCTCTGACTGAATTAAGCTTCTTGGCCCACACTTGCAAATAACCAATTTTAGACAATTGGGTGATTATTCCCCACCAGAGCCAAAGAAAACATAGATTCAGTCAGGCTTTGGAAGGACATCATTTCTTCCCCTGAGCTAGCTGGGGCTTCCTATAAAACAGGAGTAAGTATACTGACCTGGCAGAGATAATATGTGACAAGCCCCTGGTACAGAGGAGACGCTCAATAAATCTTTGCTTTGCAAGCTCTCCCACTTACTAGCTGACTGACCTGGAGCTGACGGACTTCTATGAGCCCCTTTCCATAAAAGGGGGAGAATTTAAAGTCAGCCTTGTCCCCAAACAATTTGAGGCTGCAGTTGGCATTACTGAGACCTGTCCCATGGACTTCACATGTTTCTTTTGAAGACAGACCTTGTAAGTGCACTGGCAGGCAGAGATGGAAAGCAGGGTAGCCTATAGGAAAGCACTCTGGGTTTGCCGGGACCAGATGTGGGGTCTTGTCTAGGATCTGTCACTTGCCACCCCTGCGGCTCTAGACAGGAAAGTCACTTAGGAATCCGAACCTCAGATTTACACCTTATCTACCTCTGGAGGTGGCATTGACAAATACAGCTCCCCTGGGACCAGAAACATGCCTTTTCATTTTCTGCAGCCCCAGTTTCTGTCACACTGCCTGAATCATAGAAGGCTCTCACTATTTTCTTGTTTGCTGAATGAATTTGGAGCTGCTGAGGTGTCATAGTTCCTACTTTTGTTTGAAGCCTCCTTAGCCTTCAGGCTGATGTCTATGGGTCCCTGGGCCTTTGCCAGAAAGTCATTTGTTAGCCTGCCCTGGCCCAGTGACTTTACTTTGCATACAGCCAGAAGCAAGGTAAGACTAACTGGAGGCAAAGAAAGAAGAAGGTACCCTGGCCACTCTTTTGTGTGTGATAGCTGCTCCCTCTGAGCCCCACAAAGCTAGGTGAGGCACCCTTCCTTGGGGTTCCCTATTAGAGGACTTAGTTCATACAGTGTCTAGCTCTAGGGGTAGATGTGGTAGGCTTTGGGGGTGGCCAGAGCGTCTTATGTGTGTTCTTTGCCTATAGCTGAAAAGAATTTGAGGGACGACTCCTACATCTCCAGAATTGCTGCAGGGTGAGATAGAGGATTCAGAACTCCCTGGTGATAGCATAGATGGGAAGGGCATTGAGCTCCTTGGTATAATGAGGTGAGAAAGCATGAAAGCTCCTGGAGGTGGGAAGAAACCTGATACCACATGCTTAGTACACCATGAGCCACCATGCCAGGTAGCCCTCTGGACTAGCTACCCGGCTGAAGGAGAGAGTCAAAGTGCTAACTCTGCTCCTCTCTCACCCCAGAGTGTGTACCCCCCACCCCCCACCCCCACTTTTAAAACAATTGGTACACCTTAACAAACTGCAGGGGTTTTTTGTTTTTTTAATTTAATGTTTATTTTTGAGAGAGAGGGAGACAGAGGGTCTGAAGCAGGCTCTGCACTGGCAGCCCAGAGCCCGATGTAGGGCTCAAACTCAGGAACTGTGAGACCATGACTTGGGCCAAATTCGTCTGCTTAACTGACTGAGGCACCCAGGTGCCCCAACAAACTGTAGTTTTTGAGAGAAGTGCCAGGTTACCTTTCGGAGATGCCACAGGCCCAGTCTTCTCTCTGACTCATTCAAGAGGCTCTGCTGTTTTTTGCTTTCTTAAATTATTTTTATTCCGGGATTATCATTATTACTGGCCATTTTTGTTCTCATTAAGATCAGCCATAACTCCCACCCTTTGAGTCTCTAGCTTCTGCTCACCTCTTTCCCACCTTATTTCTTTTTTCTCCACTTCCCCCCTTGACATAACCTTAATCCTACAGTGGAGCATTTTTTCCCCTAATGTCCATGCTGCCTTTAGTGCCTCCATAATTACTCCTTTCCCATCTTCAATACTATTTTCAGACCTCAGGTTGTCATTTCACCAAGAATTTTCTGACAGTCTCATCTTTTTAATTTTTGTAGTATCCCACAATGTCCTTTATCCTGCAACCACCCCACTCTCCCCTGCCCTCCCCTCAGGATGATTAGGTGTGTTTTCTATTTCCACAGTACCCCATGATAGTCCCTCCCCTCTGCCAATGCCCCTTCCCCCAGGCTGGGTTAGGTATCCAAAAGTACCTAATGCACAGTATTTCATACTATGCTCTGAGGCCCCTTTTAAATTTCCCCAAGCTTATTTAAGCATCTTTTGGATTTTCATAGAATCCTGTGATATCCTCTCTCCTGTCTCACCTCCAAGACAGGTCACAGAAGTGTTTCTAAATTTTTGTGGTAGCCCACACTCACTCCCTATTACAGCATTTACCACACTGCCAGTTTACATATTTGTCTTTCCCACGTAATCTAGAACATTCTTTAGAACTGAGGGCTGTGTGCCATGGAGGATCCCCAGAACCTAGACTGGTGCCTCAT